TCAGTCTACAGTTGCAGGTACTTGGCACTTCGGAGAACCAGTCCACAGCTATTTAAATGCATTACAGTAATGGCAATCTCCAGCATTAGTGTTTCATGCTGATAAACAATATTTGACATCTTATTATTCAGATCTGCAATTCCTAGATCAGAAAGGACAATCATGATCATATAGTCTGACTTTCTGTATACCACAAACCATTGGATTTCTCCTTGAGGTTCCTGCCTCATACCCCATAACTTGTAGTTGAATTAGAGCACATCATTTGGGAAGACACCTGGTCAAGATTTAGAGATTCCAAGAGACGGCAAAACCACTGCATTCTTGGAGCCACTGGTTATACTTACCTGAGTCTTAGTACCAGTGTCTTTTTATTCCAGTCCTTAAATCAGGAAGAGATTGGATTACTCATGTCAGCATAACTTTTCTGCTGTATGAAATTTCTGTTCCATGAAACTTGCACCCATAGGTGACTCGTACAGGGTGCATGGGAGTGCACATGACCCCCTGGCAGCTGACATTGATACTGTCAGTAGGGCTGGTGCTCCCCCTGACAGGGCTGCCACCATCAGCAGCTTCTGTGGATGCCCCCACCCCAGGCTCAGGAAGCACCAGTCACTCATGCTTGCACCCATTTCAAATGAGAGATTCTAGCTATAATTTTGATTGCTGATGTTAACAATTGTGTTGTGTAAGCACTTGAGTGCTTCATTGCCTAATAAACGTGAATGATAGCTGCACTCAGAAGCAGAATTAAAAGGATGAGCTATTAATTTAGTGGGGTTACAGGACAGCAAGAAATCTTCAGCTAATCTATTCTTCTGAAAACTTTTGAAATTCTTGGATTTCCTTCCCAGGTAACTTTCCTGGATAATAACTTGATTAGGAAATATAGAAGTCCAAACATGTCAGAAATATTTTTTGTATACTAATTTAAAGTTAAAGAAAAGACTAGATCTTTCATATTCTTCTGAACAGAAAGACTTTAACAAGAGCCACTGATAAGAGGTTGGGAGAATTTATTTTTTCAGTATTTATAGCAAATCCAAGATCTTCAGTTCAGGGTTCTGCCCAAAAAGAAGCCCACTGGACTTTCTAAATGTTATTATTTATTCATCCTAATGTTTTAAGGCATCCTCTCTATATTTTAGTAGCCTTCTTCATTTCTCTTAGTCACTTGTTAAATCATTTACACAGGCCTGTACTAATTGACCTTCTTCATCAATGACAGGAAAACAGCTGGTGTCAAAACACAGCTATGGTTGGCTGATATAAAACTACAGGAGCCTGATTCTCCATTACTATGAACCTCCTGTAGTCATTTATGTGAAGGCAGAGTGGACATAAAAAGCTATCTGATCAAAATGGCCAGGGGGTGCCCTTCCACCCACTTTACACTGGTAAAAATAATGGCATAAGGTACAGAGCCAGCAAGAATCGAGAAAGATGGAAAAGTTACAGCTTATGTTTTTTAATCAAAATTTGCTGTGCACAGATGTTGAACCACATTCTACTTCTCGTGCAACACTTACATGCTGCAGCTCCTAGAACTATTTGATCATAGCAAAGTGCATTTTCAATTTCATTATTATTATTTCTTACTATTTATTATTATTAATATTGGAGCACTGGCAACATGGGCATTTTATAGCAGAGAGGGAGACATGATCCTATCTCCAAGAAACTTAATGTGAGTCAGACACACTCAATGCAGTAAAAGGGTAAATGATGCACTGTCTGGATGACTTTTAGACACGAGATAAAAATATCTTTTACTTTCTTTATCTCATTTATCTCTGTTGGTTATCATTGAAGGCTTCCCAGAAGTGTCTTTTAAATAGAGAGCTGAACTTTCTCATGATTTCAGGAAGTTCTTGCAATTTTACAGCTTTTAGGATTCAAATGTGCAGTACACTCATCTATAGTGAATGGCTTTCCTGACAGAGTTATCCTAATTTTCATATGTAGTAGCCAAATTCACCACAGCCACATCCTCGCAGGTTGCGATAACAAGCACTTGCTCCTGCTGATGATGAGAGTTTGACCTACAGTTCCCAGTTACTACGTATTTTGATATATTTTGGTCTGGCTTTTTACTTATCTTTACTTAATTGTCATCCTTTTTCTACACAAGCTTCCTTCCTTTTTTCCTTCTCATTGTTATTTGAGCTCGTTTTCTTTTTGCAAATCGTTTGCATTTTCTTACTAGCACATTTTCTTGCTAGTACACTCACCGTTAACTGAGTGGGCTTTATTTACTCAATGAAAACATTCAGAGTGCTTTGAATTTCTCTCCTACACTGAGGTCAATGAACACTTTTTACTCATCCACCTATTCTCTGCAATCTCGTGCCAGAGGGCGAAGAGCCAGATCTTAAAATGGGTTTAGGTGCCTGAAAATGTAACTTATGTGGAATTTAGGTGCCTGTATCCAGGACTGCAATCTACACACACTCCACCTCACTACTTTGGCACCTGAGCCTTCACCGGTAAAATTACTTGGGTATCTAAAGTTCCCCACTCTGAGGCACTGACATCTTGAATGAGCTAAGCATTTCAGCATCAGTCTTTTGCCTAGACCCACTTGTGATTTACAAAGTAGCTGGTCTTTTTGCCTAAGTCCACCAAAGGCTCTGTTTGGGTAGACATGCTCTGAAAACGTGTAAGCATGCACCAGCAGCACTGGAATGAGCGCAAAGCACAGTAGCTATAGTTGCTTTCATTCAAGAATATGGCTAGTCTTCAGCACTGCCACACCAAAGTCCCTTTATAGATCCAGGCTAAATCTACAACTTTTCCCTCTGTCAGTTCTGCTTCTGTAACTGACTTCTTTTGCATTTCGTGAAATTAAACCATCAGAAATCTGTCACAGTAAAGCTGCTGCTAAAAACCTAGAGAAATTGGCAATGCTTTGCCCTTAAAGATTCACTTTCTGCTTCTACTGGTGAAATGCAAACCCTTTAGCACTTAAAAAGGGCTTGGGTATCAGTTACTCTTTACTCAATACACATTTTTTCTGGAAATAAATGGAAGCTCTTGAATCATTTGGGAGCATTAACAGTTTAATCGGTCTCTATAGGGGTCCCTTTAAAAGCAATTTAACCACATACACCGAACAGATTGTGATGTCTGAGAAAAACAGAGGCATGTTCCTCTGTTAGACTAGAGGCAAAATTGTGCCTTGCTGCTCTCAGGAGTGCTGGTGGACAGGAGGTGCTGAGTTGCAGCAGCTGAGAAGAAGTACTGCGAGGCATTTTGGCTGTGCAGGGTAGGGAGAGGCAGCAGGTCACATACAGCACTGGAGGGAACATGCTGCAAGATACTTCTGGTATGTGATTGGGAACAGTGTGCACACCCCAGCACATAGGGTAGCTAAGCCCTGCACAAATGGAGCTGGATCCTGACAGGAGTCCTAGCCCAGCTTGTCACATGCCAAGGCACTGTCAGGTGTACTAGCTGTTTCTAGGTAATGATCCCCCATGTTAACTGGCCAGGTTAATGAAATGCAATGTAAGACACCTGTCAACTCCCCACCCAGGCTCATCACTCCCTTTAACTTATCTCTTGGATTATTGCTGCTTTTGCTTTTGCTACTCAGGTGCTGGCCCTGCTTACCTGGGTGGCACCAGTGCTGCTACTCTGGGCCCTATTCTTATTGGTGTGGGGCCCTGGGTACCAATGTAAAGCTTTCACTTTTGGCCTTTTCTGGAAGACCTTCCATAGCTGCACTCTGCAGAAGCTGGTGCCAATGGCTTCCAAGGGTCTGCAACAACACCCCCTGCTGGGAAGACGTAGAAAAGGGCAACCACTGAGTCTACAATAGAGCAGTTAGGTGCTCAGTTTTAATGGTCTAATATTCCTTGAACCACCATAGCTATACCACTGTGCTAACCCTAGATTTTTAAGACAGACCACTGAAAAACAGGACTGGCCTGGGAAACAGAAAGAGATCTGATTGTTTGACCTGAAGTTTGTACTTTCAGAGGTTGTCTTTCATGGAGGTACTAAGAATAGCCCTACGCACTCTCCTTAGGCAGCAGCCAGAATATAACTAGCCATATTCTAAATGTCTCCAAAACATAGGCCTTGATGCATGTTTATTTGCAGAGGCATCTCGGTTATGTGATGCAGAATGTTCAGTGAAAGCTTTTGTTAGAGAAGATTTTCACTTAGTGTCTTTACTCATCCTTATTAACCACTGAGATGTAAATAAAACATGGATTTTCACCATACTGATGGCAGAAAGCTAATTCAGACAAAGTGAACCCAACTGGGCTGTGCTTAACGAACCATGGTTCTACCTTACCGCCACATGCACTCCAGCTTCTATAGCATTTCCTTCAAAGAAGAGGTCTTTTCTTTCCAGGTACTCTCCTTGCTTTTGTCCCTGTTTGTAATCCCTTCTCTCAAAGGCTGCCATTTTTGCTTATGACAAACATTAAGCAAAATACTTAACTGAGTGCTCCCCCTCACCCCTGTCCCCACCTTTTTAGTGTCATAGTAGGATATCACCCAGACTGTATTCTTGGATTATTTCTTTATAAAATGTTGATGACCACGAGCAAGATGCAGCATATGACATTCTAATTTTAAAGCCTTGAACCTATGACTAATTAAGCAGACACATAAATCCATTGATTTAATTGCCTCAGATATTAATTCTTGAAATGTTAATTTAAAAAATCATGTGGAAATCTACCCTTACCCCAAGAAACCATCACTTCACATTGGAGTGCTTGCAACTTACTGTCCAGTCTTAATTAAATAGTTAATCCTTGCAAAGGGACTTAAATATGCAAAGAGATATCTGAACATTAAGCAGATTATCCTCAGTTAATGTTCTGTAACCACATCTTCATTACTCACTGGATCTCTAGAAACTCGGTAAAAGTAAAAGCAATTCTCAGTTTCAACTTATAAAATAAATTTAAACATACCAACAATTAATTGAAACATGTTATAAGACGACGAGGGAAAATATGAAAGACTGTTTTGTCCTCTTCGGTCAGCTCCAAGTCTCAAATAGTCAACATTAATATTGCTTCTGTACTTCTGCTGGTCTTTGATTTTTTTTCCTCTTATATCTTCCTCTGCCTTGTTCTTCTTTTTCCCTTGATCTAAATTTCCCGTCTTCCAAGTCTTGACCTAGTCTTTAAAAAGTTCCCCTTGAAGCTGTGGAATCACTTAGAACAAGATTCTAATGCCAATCCATTGATTTTGCTGGGACTACTCAAAGAACAAGACACTTGTGAACACAGGGGTGTTGGAACAGGCCCAAATCTAGCCTGTATATAATCAATCACATGTGCACTCAGAATAAACAGGAATAAACCCACTTCTACCACAGCTAAATTGTCTCTCTAATGCCACATTCAACTGAATGTATAGTTTTGCGTCTATAACCAATGACCAGCTTTATATGTAAAGCTTTTTTTTTTTTAAATCTACTTTATTTATCAGTAGTCTGCTTTTCTTCCAGTTCCCTTCAGCACTCAACAAAAGCTGCTCCCTGCTCAATGAAAGCAAATGTTGCACATCTTGTGACAGTGGAACAATGTCATCTTCACTGGGCTAGACTCTGACATGAAGGTTTTAGTGTTTTTTTTCAATTGGGACTACTAAAGGGCAGAAACAATGTTTTTGATGCATCTGGTTTGGTTTTCATGTATGTTGTATTTTCCTTCTTTCCAAAGACCTACAAATCAGAATTTCCTTACTGACTCAGGTCCCAGATAAGGTACAGTATTATTTATTGTGGCATTTTGTTGAATTTCAACTTGGATGAGCAGCAGTGATCAAGATGTTTCTGTCTTAGGGTTTTAACAAATATTAATGTGCATTTACTATTTATTTGCATTGCGGTGTCATTTATTCACTTCCCCCCTTTTAAAATCTCAGTCTTGTTGCTACTGTGCTGTGCATTTATCTCATTTTGCCTAAAAAACCCAGATATATAGAGGAGCCTGTTCCATGGATCAAACATTATTCACTGCATTTTCACAAGTAAACTAGTAACCCTATCTCAAGTATAGCATCTCTAATGGACCAAAATATGACAGTACTAGCAGGAGATTGCTTTTGGCATTGAGCATACAGTAGAATTTTTAACAAGAGATACTGAGGAGAGGTGGGAAAGACACCAGACAGGTGATTCTCAACCAACGTGCCTCAGCATCCCAGGGTGCCTTAAGAACCTTTTAGGGGTGCTGCAGGGTACCACACAATGTTAGCATTGTTACATGTGCAAATAGATTTCAAATGTGAATCATCCGTATCAAAAACATTATAATCTGTTGTAGACTTTCTGAGTTCTTTGCAACAAAAGAAGAATTGCTCTACTATTTTTTTGTAGTAAAATAACACATGAAAATTAAGAGCTGGCATTTTTCAAGGGGGCCCTTGACCCTAAAAAGGTTGAGAACGATTGGACTAGACACATGGAAACCAGAGGCCATAAAAGGCACAGCAAATCAGCTGTGTGAAAACTGTGATGGTGACACCCAATCCTATACGTTTGCCGTATGCCTGGTTTTGTTTTTTTTTCTCTTTTTTGGCCTTCTGTCATTCCCCACACTGCTGAATAATCTTATAGGATGGCATGTGCCTGAGCACACGTATGGATTTACATAAACACATCCAGGGGGACAGTATATGACACCAGGAACTCATATTTATAAGCACAGGGATGCCAGATTCCCTAAAATATATAGAAAGAATTTTGGGGAGCAATAAACCAGTAAAAAAAGATACAGTCCAACAAAACAAAACAACCAGCAATATCTACTTTTCTCTCAGCTGCTGAATATTGGCTTGGCTGAAAAGCCAGGCCTGCTTACCAGCATGCTCAAGAGAAAGTGCAGGGTTTCTGTGGAAGGCAGCTAGGAAATGGACAAATTGTTATACAGTATGGGCAGGTCTGTTAGAAGCAGCAAAGCTCCTCTTTTTCCCACATATTGGTTCCATAGATGAACTTCTCTGTATAGCAGTTCATGTGGCCCCATCCCATCTCATGCTGTGTCCCCATCATGGGATGCCTTAGGAGAACACAAGAAGGATAACTCAGAAGGTATCTTCTTTGAAAAGCCAGGTTTTCCCTGAATTCCCTGTCAGAGTTCAAGATCCCTTTACTTTATCTCCCTTCCTCAAGTATACCCACAGACAGTTACTACCACCTGACTAAGCCATGGTGCTCTCCCCATTGCTGTATTTGCCTTGAAGAAAAGGGGTAATAAAAGAGAGTTGAGCCCAGAGGGACTCATGCATGTGACAGGTTTCAAAAGGTGGAAGTGAAGTTTCCTACAAACTGAAGCCTGCCTTGTTTAGAAGTGGATTCCTGGATGACAGAGCTAATTATAGCATGGCCTACCTAACTTATCAATATTTATCCAAAGAGATGTAGGGAGGACATAGTGAGACCTTATGGACAATCTGGTGTTCTTGCTGCATCCCACACCAGGATGTAAAATGAGGGAAAAACCCCACCCTTTTCCACAGGACCCTTTAATATAAACTATTTAAAGGTTCAATTGCCAATAAATTACGATTATAATACAAATGCTCTATGTTCCAGGTGCCTGGGAGATGCTCTCTGTCTCTGTTACTTTAGAGCAGCTCCATCACCATACATCCCTGTGTGTACTGAATTCATCGGGTGATTGGTGCAACATAGTTGGCAGGGAAGAGTCCAAGTTCACCACGCAGACGACCTTTCCACCAAGAGGGGTTGGAGCTGTCCAGGACTTCTACAATGTCTCCACTGCGGAAGCCAAGTTCATCATACTCCATTGCCTCAAAATCATACAGGGCACGGACCCACAGCGTTTGCTGAAGAGAAGGAGATAGGGAAAGGTCAACCACAAGGCTTACAAACATCCCCCCATGACACTCACCACAGAGAGGAAGAAATTCAACAGCAGAAAATAAAACTATGCTATCAGTGTGGAAATCAATGGAACAGCCATCAGGATCCCAGCAAAAACCTGAATAAAAGGGACACTTAGGGCTGGGACTTACATTAGCAGGAGTCCCTGGGATCCTTCTCAATATAGGGATAGTTCCTCTAAGCAGAACTGAAGTGGCTGGGATGGAGCATGTATCACAAGAACGTCCTTTTCAGGTGCTCCAGTCACATCACATCACATCACATCACATCACACCAGATATAATACAAACGTGTGTTTCCCCCTCCACCCCACAATGTGGGACCTCCATACTGGTGGGTAAATAGGTTAACTCTCTACCTGTTTTCCTGAACGGAGATCTGGTAAAGGACAGAGAAGGGCATACTATACATACCACCCACCTGGGGTTGCTGCTGCAGTGGATCTGTATGTCTGCGGTGCACGGATGGTGCACTTACTTGCCCATGGTCTCTTAGGGCATCCTTCCTATCCAGGCTCCCTCCATACCTCTCCTAGAAAGTTAAAGAGCAAAAGAAAAGCCATAAATATACTCAGTTGTGTCATGGGGATGGAGGATTTCAGAGTTACTGGGTGTCACAGTTTCAGGATTGAGCCAGGGCACTCATTTTTTACTTATATTTATCAGGGAGTGTTTTCCCCTGTGTTCACTGGATTCCAGGGCAACACACCTAACAGGAGTGGCCTTCCCAGTGGGTGTCATTTTGGCTCAGAATCTCAAACTAGGTAGGCTCCATATACATTCCTTCTCTTCTCAGAGGTTGAAATCACCTCCCTAGATCAATCTGTATGAAAGATCCAGTCAACAGTCCACTCTCACAGCAATTGTCCACATCCCCCTTTTTGCTGGCAAAGTCCCTATGCTGAGAGTAGCACAGGATCTGGCTATGTTGGATCTGTACTGGCTAGGCACACGCTTACGCTGGGGAATATCCAGCTGCTTTTCTCTCCCTTGGTGCTGCTTCTCCCTGCAGAGGCAATGGAACAGGCCTTAGAAGCCACTGATGCAGTTAAAAAAAGATCAGAGCAAGAAAAATATCAGATGAAAACCAGAGAAGTGGCACGAGAGTGCACTTAGTGTTACAGGCAGCACAGACAAGCCCAAGTAGGGAACACTTTCAGTTAGATGCAGCCAAGACCTACATCTCCAAACAACCCATTCGCCTTCCTCAGATATGATCCTTTTCTGATTTATCAAGTCTTGGGTGTCACATCTCACTTCAGGCCTATTTAGTCCACGACCCATTTTAGTGGTAAAGGTGTGGCAGAGTTGGATCTTGTACTAGCCATGCTGGCCCAGGGCTCAGAAGCATTTTAGTGATGCAGTATTTGATCAGCTGTATCAGCTGGGAGTGGGGAGGAAGTGCAGCAGCTTTAGTTCTCTGTACATAGCTATTGGCCTCTATATCTTCCTACTTGTCTTTGTCAGTACCTGACATTTCAAATGCCCTTCTGGTCTTACCTGCAGTTTTGTCAGCCTAAAGGGTAGGCATGACCAGATCTCAGTTTGCATGTCAGCACCCTGGCTGAAGGTGATTAGAGTGAATCAAACTCAATCGGACTCTAAAGCAACAAGTTTTCTTTTCTGTCTTCTTTTTCTTGCAAGTATTTCCTCTCTGTAGCTAATGTGACTTACTGACAGATTTGTCACAAAAGACCTGAGCCGAAGTCTTGTCACAAACTGTACTGTTCTCTCAACAGTCCCCTCACTCCTATTTGATGGGATGTAACGAGGTCATTTCAGGAGTGCTCTTGGCCTTCCTCTTGCATACCCTTTTCCCCTGACAGAAACAGCATTCTTCTTGGATGAGGCCAATATTATTGCAGCATTTCCAACTGCAGTCAAGAGCCAATCCCTTCTCCCTCTAAAGCTGTTTCCTATCCAAATCAATCAGGATGGGCTGCATTATTCATTTTCTCCCCAAAATCCTGAGATAAGAGTATTTTTTATATGCACATGGAAAATCCGAAGAGGAAAGGACCTCATCACTAAAAAGGGAATCAAGGATTCACCTCAGGAAAAGGGAGTCTGGGGCAGTGCTGAAGGAAATAAAATTCTCTCAATGTTAACAAACTCATGTCCCATCCTCAATATGCACTGTGATGCTGAATGCTATTAGCACTGTAGAGCAAACAAAACTGGCTGCAGGGTTTGATTTGTCTTAGAGAACTGAGAGGAAATCCTAGGCATGGGGGTGGATGTGTGAGGGATGTGTGTGTTTGTGAGTGTGTGCACATGTGCATGCCTGCATGCATGCATGTGTGTGTACACAGGGTGTTATTTTGCACCTGTTTGAGATGATTTTTGGTCTTGACCCAAGCTCTACTGGATCATAACATTTCCCCATATTTCGCCACTTGGTTCCCAGCTCTCCAGTGAGAATGGGTATTGCTGAGTTATGACTTTTGCAGGTATACTCCATGAGCGCTGATGCTCCCAGGACAATACCAAAGTCACATATTTATCTCAGGCCACAAGATGTCACCAGGCTGGCATAACACATTGTTGCTACATCACCCTCAAAGACATAGCTCTTTCTGTTTCATGAAAAGGAGTCAGGGTAAACCAATCACACAGGTAGATGACTGACAGCCCAACTTCTAGTAAGCAGAGATTAATGTGCTCTGAAGCCTGGGTTCAGCTCAACCTTCCCCGCTTTCCCAGTACTACCTGTTGCTGCTGCTGCTGCTGCTGCTGCTGCTGCATCATGAGTGAGGAGTGATCTAAATATCTCTTAGACATTGATGCTCGGACATCTGCAGCTGCTCCACTCAGACGTAACCCTTCTGGTGCTCCCCGTTCTAGGCTTCCACCATGCCGCTCCTGAAGACATATTAATAACAAAGGTAAGGCCAAGTGTAGTACCCTTTTGCTGGTACCCTTATAGTCAGTACCCCAAACTATTTGCTCCCCTGATCTTGCCCTCCCACTGTTCCTCCAAGCCCTAAAGTCTGTGTAAAAGAGGATTCCTGCCCCAGTGAAAAAGGAACAAATTTGCAACCCTGTATTTTGCATCTTCATCACAGTCACTTTCCTTCATTCAGTGCATGTAAGAATTCAGAGCCTCAAGCCCATTTGGAAATACATGAGTGGGTTTTACCTTGCATCCATTCTACTCTGAATAGACAGGATAAGCCAATCCCCAGCGCTTCCTCTAAAAATAACCAAGGGTACTTGAAGCCCATCTCTCCCCTCTCTGAGTCCTTTATTTTCCCTGTAAATAAGGGGAGGTGTGTAGCCTCATGTGTTGGCTATCTGACTGGACCCACACTTAGGGATATACTTTCAAGTCCTCAACATGCCCAACAAGCCAGATTTTCAAAAAGGTTTGGCATCTAGCATTCCATAGTGACAGTCCTCAGCAGGTGTTTTAGATGTCCCTGGATTGAAACCCTCCTATGCACTTAACATGCAGTGTTAACAGTGGGTTGAGTGCTTTTGAAAATATGAGCATGTGTTAAAGCACCTAAATGAGAGATGAGCTCTCTTGAAAACTCTGGTTTCAGGCTTCAAGCATCTCTGCCTCTGGATTTATGTATCATCATCGTCATCATAACTGTTTACTATTGCAGCACTTAGGAGCAAGACCCAATGTGTCAGGTGCTGTATAAGCCTTGACATGCGCATCACCACAGCAACTAAATGAAGTATAGGCCCCACCAACAGTCTTCCCTCCTCCACCCAATATTTTAATTTATCTGTTTACATCTTGTAGAAAATGTTATCCCCTCTCTCCTTTTCTTCTGCTCTCTGGAGGCCTTAGCAAGTTGTTTTACTGATAAAGCATCCGCGTCTATACACACTTTCTTTCTCCTCCTCCAGACTGTGCTCTGCTATTAGCTGTAGCCCTGGAAATGCACTGGAAAAAGCAGAGAAATGGTCTTGAAGGGGTCAACAAATTGATACCCCTTTATCAGATTGAAAAGTATATCCTTTCTCTTTTTTGAAGCCCAAAAGAATCCCCACGATGTATTTTATAAAACTTTACTGCCACAGACAGCAAATCACATATTTTCTGCCTTGTCTCTACCATGCTCATCCTGATAATTTAACACCAGAATCTGTTTTCTAGCTAAGCACAGCTTCAGGTACTGCAGCTACCACATGTTCACTATCTCTCAGCACTGCATTTGCAATGGCTGGCAGCTTCTGCTCTGTCATACCTTTATTCTCCAGGCTGTGAATCAAACAGGTATTCAATGGTCAAGCATTTCTCTGTTTCACCAAGCATTTTTACTGTATCTTCCTCACAAACCATACTCAGAACTTCTGAATTCTCCTAGTAGGTACCATTCTGCCCCTTTTGCTACTTCTACATTCTGTCTCCTGTACCTCTATACCTCCCTGCTTTATGTTGTAAATAAGGGATCAGTGATTCCTTGGTGCACATTTTAAGCTATAGATGCACACAGTTTATATTCAAGGAGAGAAAGAAACTAAATTAATAGTCTTCTTTTCCCAAACTTGCCAGTAGACTAAGTATTCCCCCTCTCTTTTTATATTTCTCAGCAGTTTTCCTCAAACCTATTTCACAACTCCTGCTTTAGAAAACAAGTCCTGCCTTCTCCTGTAAGTATGCCAATGCACCTCAATCCTCCCCTACAGCACTTCCTGCTATTCCAGTCCTGGGGCCCCCACATGGCTCTGCCAAATTCCCTCAAATCCTGATTTACTACATACCCTTTGTTGTCCTAAAAGGAGACAGAAAATTATTCTCAGTTACAAAACGTTTTTATGAAGCAATCAACGGGGCTGAGAGGCCCACCACCCTAGTGACCTTGCTGAGAGTCTAAGGAAGGTCTTCCGAAACAACATGCTAGGGCTAGATTCCTTTTCACACAGGATCCTATAGGGATTGTTTTGAAAGTCCCAGGGATACCTTCTCTTCTCGGCTATCGTCCCGCAGGAAGATCTGCTTCTGTCTGGAGATGGAGTTGGTCTTGTAGTACTCCACCAACTTGTTTAGAGATTGGAATTTCTCTGTCCACAAGTAGTAGTTGTTCTTTGCATCCCTCATCACTTTGAAGTGCTGAACATCATCTTCATGCCTGGGAGCAATGGGAATAAAAATATCAGATGCTTACAACTTTGCCTTCCTCAAAACCCTTTTATCCAGAAGGATCTCAAGGCCCCTTGTGGGTTCTGGGCTCAAATTCAGACTTCCAGAAAGTGATATAAGTGGAGATAAAGCTGCATGCGCTGAATCTGAATGTGGCCTTGTAAAGGAATCAGTCATCTAACTACAAAAATGCAACATCAGGAAGGGTCATGGAAAATGGTGGAATTTCCACAGAACATAGGCAATCAGACCTTTATTTTGAAATAAGTGTTAAGGGATTTTTTAGGACCATAGATGTTTAGGACCTGTGTGCTATACTTCATATGAAAGTCAGCAAAGCAATGGCACAGTGCTCATTAACAGCTGCATTTATACTGTATGTATGGGAAGAGTGCAAGCTATCCTTTGGTGAGGGTTAGTCTCAGGTTTACTTAGGAGAGGATGGCATTGGTTTAAAAAGGGGCACAAAGGGAATAAACACAAAGAACAAGAAGTCCAGAGGACTGGTAAATGGAGTCTTGGATTTCTTAAGCAATGTTCATACAACGTAATATGCTATGTGCTCAGTATTTTACGAACAAAAATGTTAAGCTGTTGGCTCCAATGCAATAGCAACAAAAAACCATTCCTCTCTGACAGCTGCTCAGTGACCTATGGAAAGTATGTTAATGGTGCAAATCACCTCCTAATTAATATTATGGGGTTCAGCAATCTCAGTCATTCTGCAAAGCAAACACCTGGAAGGCACATGTTCTGTATTGGAGAAGCTGTCCCAAAGATGCTCTCCCTTTTGCTACATGCAAGCAAAAGGAGGAGGACAGCTGGTGGTACAGCTGTGGAACTGGGCATGTGTTGTGTCACTCTGAAGGAGGAAGAAACAACTGGGAGGCAGATGCCTCATTTATTCCTATTTGACAACAAAGTAGATCTTCCAGTGACCAGTGACTGGCAGCACACAAGCTTCCCAAAAGGCAGTGCCATGTTAGGGTTCCTGTCAAGAAGCATCTTGAGGATTGCATTGGCCAGAAAAAGATGGAAAGAAATTGTAAGTAGCAGGTACCTGACAGAGATAGAGAAGTCACCCTGGGAGTTCTGGCTTGCTCGGATGATGAAGGAGCCAATTTCTTTGTTTATGAGTAGGTTCTCTGCCTCATGGCGGGATATCCTCCCATTAAACCAGCTGTCAAATGGAACAGATCACATGAACATGAATAAGAAAGGTGAATTAGAGAAAAAAAAAAGAGGTAAGAGAAAGAAAGAATGAATGAGCAGGGGCAAGGGAAGGAGTGAAGTAAGGGTTGAGAGCACAGATGTAAAAAATATGGCCTGCTTTGCTCCTGGAGGGGCTGTGAGTATGGGAACAGGGCCCACTGCCAAAATCTGGCATAGAGATCTCCATTGCGAATATGTGGGTGAAAGCGATGCATGCATTAATCTTCATGGATCAGGAACTAACAGCAATTGATACCACAGGCTGCTGGCCTTGATGCCAGAGGTAGATCCAGATCCAACTGGTGAGGCTTTTTGTAGTCCAGATCCAGTGCAACAGGAGCCCTCCAGTCCAGATCCAGCCCAGGGGGCCAAGAAAGCTTGCTGCTCCTGGTCTATAGGATACCATGTGAACATCTCTACTAACAGGGCATGTCTGGAAGGCATAATTTATAGGAAGGGAAAACTGCTCTTCATGAAAAGCAAATAACTTCCTTTCATTATCTATTGACAATGTGCAGCCTGAACTTCTTAAAAAACATGGATTTCTTGCTGCTCTAAAAACAGAAAAGGAAATCAAACTGGAAATGTTTAATTTCAGCTATTGTACGGGGGGTGAGGGGAGGAGGAAGAGAGAGAAAGAGAGAGAGAGAAAGCTCATGAGAATGTAAGCATGCATGTGTGCAGGGGAGGGAGGGAAATACAAAGTGGCAGAAGACATAATTAGTACGTGATTCAAGTGCACCATGTGTGCGAGGAAGGCACTGCTGGTATAACTACCCGAAGCACAATCACCTCAGTCAACAGCTAGCAGTGCACATGAAGGACTGAAGAAGAGAACTCATCCCACTTCAACTGAATGAATACAAACCTGTATTTGTAGAACTAAAAGTCCCCCAGTTCAGGCAGCAGGTGGAATTCATACACAAAAGGTGTGCTAAGGTCCATCCAACAGGGGGCAGTCACATATCGGCATTCACAGACAGTACAATCCCACCAGTACCTACAGCCTTTCTAACACCTGCCCCAGGGTAATAATATGCACACACAAAAAAAGTATTGGTTGGCAAATATACTTGGCATAGTAGGAAAAAGGCCCTGCATGCTTTTTTCTGAAATACTGCAGCACTTTCAAAGCAGGAGGCATAAGTGGCTATAGCTTCATAAAAATTTCTGCCAATCAAAAGAAAAGGTTTGCAAGTGTGCTGTACCATAGCATTGTCAGGTCAGATAGCACAATATTTTATATGCATCTAAATTTGTAGAATCCTCCATGAAACTGCAATCCCGTTTGTCCTGCTCCTATTGAACTTGCTGCAACATAACGGTGGGGAACAATATGGGAAAGCCATGTCTCTGACTGCTCCATGTCCAGCTGCAAAATCAGGGCACTTCAAAGAAGAAGGAAGAGTTGAGGGCCTATGGGCTACATGTCTGTCATCTCTGACAACCCATAGACACCATTTCTCATGTAACATCGCTCTGACCTCTAGTGTATCAAAGGAAACAGATATGCAGACAGGGGGCTTTGATTCATAAGGTTTACTAGGAAGGTTATTACTTTTTCTGAGACGGAAAAATCCCCTATTCTTTTTTTTCCACTTGTTTTTTTGTCACTAAGACTTCATATTATGGCAATTCCCCTTCTATCAAAGGGAGAGCTAGAAGCAGCTCCTAAAACATCCCTCTGAGTAGTAATAACAAAGGAGTCAATTGAGAGTGATATAGAAATTTGGGGGCCATCCAAGATTGCACTAGCAGGGGGGCTACAGGACAGGAATAAAGTGAACTGGCAAAGCTGTGTGTGGAGCTTTGCCAGGGTCCCTTCCTATTCCAAGCTGTACAGTGCAATCAGTGCTTTCTCCGGTGTGCATGAACACACACACACACACACACTACAATTTTCTGAGAAGCCAAAGGGAAACACACATGCTCCCTGTCATACTTACACAGGAATTTGAAAATTGATGAAATTCTTGGGGACATATCCCTCTTGACTTCTCAGCTCAGCCTTGTACCACTCTTCCTGGGAGCTTAAAATCTGCATCAGACAAAAAAGAATAAATAAACCTCCTTGAGAAAGGCAAAGTAGCTAGATAGAGAAGTCACTGAAAAAAGGAAGAACATTTGGAGTTCTGTGGAAAGATAAAAGCAGACTGCATCAGGTTTGCAGGTGCTGAGAGCTTTGGCATCCCAGTCTCATGACTCCTCACACTTGCAACAGGGCTGGTAGCCAAAGGCCAGGTGAGTTGAAATAAAGCTATGAGGAAGGTAGAGAGGAATTAGAGGTACTGCTTGTTAGTTTTATCCCTATTCTGGCAGGCTTTGCTGGATGGCTGGGGGATGTGGGCTGCACATCTCTAATGCCTCTGAGATGGAGTCCTGTTCTGAAGGACTTAGAGTGGGTTTAAGCAGTTCTTTGTGCTGTTTAACGGTTTGCAGTGGAGTGTCTCAATTTAGCAAAAGACGAAAAATCTCAAAACAATACTGTGATTTAAGTGTATGTGCATGTGTACATGTACATGTTACTGTCACTGCATGTAATAAAATCAGCGGGCTAAGTTCCTAGTTGTGCTGAGCCTGCCTTAAGGCAAATACAGAGAAGGCAAAGTTGATTCAAAGCCATTTCTTTGTTTCCTTAGATCCTGGGGATACAGTGGGGCAGCCTACACTGCAAATTGGAGCTGCCTCCATACTGCTTTACTGATGCCAGCTGGAACAGCCTCCAGGAACTGTCCTGCTAAACAAGGATTGCAGGAGTGCGCTGCACTCTGGCTCACCCCATCATGGTCCTGATGCAGCCTGAAGCTGGTGGGGAGGGAACAGGTGGCAAGTACCTAGCAGTGCTGTCAGCTGTCATGATTTTCCTGCCAGTGTTGCAGTTTGTGGGCTTCTGTTTAAAATTCCAGTTCCCGTAATATAGGAGAATCTCACTTTTCAGTTAATAAAAAAAGCACCTGTCTCTTCTGATTGTGAAAAAAAAGCTTGAAGCCATAATCCCTGAAGGCTCGGAAAACAGAAGACAACAACCCCACCCCCGGCCATATTTATTTATGTATTGATGTAAATATCATGATTTTTAAGCCAATCTCATTAATGGGAGGAAGGAGGTAACTCACACTCTTTGATTGCTCAGCATTGACAAGAATGAGTTCCTATTTCTGGAACTGATTCTGTATTGATTTACTCTTCATGTAGTTCTTTCACCTGTTCAAAAGGAGACTGGGGGTGGGGAAGGGCTGAGGATTTCCCTGCTGTTATGCCAGTTGATGTCCCTCTCCTCCTGCTCCCCCACACAACAGAAGGCAATGGTGTCTCTCGTCCTTCCCAGTAGACCATATGGGATACAACTCGTTTCCTTTCTGGCGCTCAGTTCTAAAATAGATGCAACTATGGCAGTAAGCCCTTCTCCTCTCCTGCCTGGAGCCTGCTCTGCTAGCAGCAAGGTTTCTGGAACAAGCCACCTGCAAGGTCTTCGTATGCAGAAGACAGGCCCTCTCACTGTCATTCTTTCAGAGAACGGGGTTGGGGTGTGGATTTCCTCCTGTCTGTGCTGGTTCAGGGCCTCATGTTTCCTGTTTGTTTAATCTCCACATCAATACTGTTTGCCTTATCTGCTTCACAAATCAGATAAGATAAACCCCAGCAGGTTGTGCAGGCAGCAGAAGTGGGGCAGCTAGGGGCTTTGCATACACATGTGTGAGCACAGGCACACATGTTTGTGAGAAAGAGACAGAAAGGGAAGAAGATATTATCCACTTTGGTTTATTTACTGATGTGTCTTGGCTTTTAGGGAGTTATTTCAGTCACATCTGGGAGGAAGGGTGCAATGTCTGCATGTGTCTGGCTTTCTGGCTGCATATTCTCAGTGAAAATAAGCAACAGCCATAACAGCCAGTGGTTTTCTGGCATTTTTATTCAGCAGATCCCAAGGGGCTTTACAAAGGAGGCTGATGCTATTATTCTCAGCTTCAGGTGGAGAAAACCAAGGCACAGAGACGTGAAGTGATGTGCTTAGGGTTACCCAGTAGGCCAGTGGCAGGGGCAAGAGCAGAATTCAGGTCTCCTGACTAAATAGAGATAATATGTTTAACCCAGGGTGCCAAGGTAGAGGCAGCTGGGGCATAAAGACCAAGTTTGGGCTGAGAAAGCATCAGAAGCACTTTAGAGGTCAAATTTTCAAAATCCTGTAGTGGAGGGTTAAAGGATATCTCCTCCTATCTCTCTTAATAGTTGAGCTTCTGGATGGAGCCAACTTTCTCATAAGCCTCAAGAAATTATGGGAAAGTAAAATGAAAAGTGGTGGTTTTGACAGGGGCAAAACTGAGAGGGGAGCCTAGCATTGGATCATCAAAAGGTGCTGCAGGGCAAGCTCAAGGTGCCCTGCAAAAGTTAGTTGGATCTCATTTCTCAACAATCTCCCTTTTTGCCAAAAAAGGGGGGGGGGGGGGG